ATTTTGTTCATCTGACTGCATCTGGATTCGAACTTGGGTTTGTCTCTCGCCAGTTCATGGGTGTACCAACTGAGCTAGGCCCGTTGATCATGTGATGTCTGCTTTTTCACCGAAGAATTGATTGGCTTACTCGCACTGACCAATCTTCGTTTCCCGTTTCACTTATTAATAGTTACAGGCAGATGCCCGTGCCCATCCTCCTCTTCATCCTTCCCCTGCCAGCTCCTTCTCCTCCTCCTCCTGCCCCCCGCTCTCTCCACCTCTTCTCCGCCCTGCCCCCACACTCCACTCCTCCTCTGCTGCGTTCTCCTCCTGCCCCTCCTCCTCTGTCCCGTCCTTCTCATCCTCTGGCTTGTGCCGTGTCCTCCTCCTGCCACGCCGCCTCCTCTGCCATGTATGCGGCCAAGCCAACAAAAACACAAAGACGACTTATCCCTAAAACAAGGAACTCCACCTCCTGGTTGCAGATGCATGTGGACAGACCCGTGGCCAAGTGACCCAAAAAGGAAAAACACGTGGCCAAAATTAGGCACAACTCGGCCCTTGGCACTGCCACGCGGTACCGGTACTATGTGGGCTTGGCGGTATCATGTGGCATGAGTGATACCACGTGGGCTGGGCAGTATCAGGTGGGCTGGGCAGGACTATGCGGACCGGATGGAACTAACACACAGCCATAAACACGCACACACACACACACACACACACACACACACACACACACACACACACACACACTTGGTGACTTGGGCGCAACTCTACCCTTGGCATGGCCATGGTACTATGTGTGCTGGGCAAACACAAAAGAACAAATCTATGAAGAGGAAACAACTCCAAGGGCGTAATCACACTAGGAGTTCTACAATGCTCTGGCCATGATTGCAGTCAGATGCATCCACGTCTGTCTGGCTGCAATTGCAGTCATATTCGCTTTGGAAAATTGCTAGTGTGAGTATGCACTACTATGCACTGAGATCTATTTTTACCTTTTGTTTTTGTTTTTCCATAACAAAGGACTGTGTGATGGTGGAACTGACCGGCCCCAGATAATTCAGAAATATGTGATTTCGTTCATTTAGTTCTATCTGGGCCAAGGTCCCATTAGCAAAGAGGATTGGATTGAGAGTGTGAATTTTTTATGGGTTCTAATCAGAGATGAAGAAGAGCAGATAAATATCAATTTTCTGTATCTCTCCGTAAACACATCCAGATTCAGGCACTGAATCCAATCCTCTTTGCTCGCCGGTGGGTTGGGACTCAGGTCTGCATTTGAGCAGTTGATGGGTATACCAACTGAGCTGGGCCTGTTGTTTTTTTTTCCTTTTTCTTTCGGGTCGAGCTCCGCTGCAGAGCAGAGCCTGCGACCTGGTTGCTGGAGAGTGACATGTCTTCTTTCCATGCAAAATCGGCGTGCTATTCGAACATCCAGAAAAATGGCCGTGGACCGAACGCTGGGGTGGGTGGAGGGACGCAAGACCCCCTTCATGCTTTGGCAAGATTACGGATTATTTTATTTTATTTCTCTGAATTTTTTTTAGTAAAGAAAAACAGATCCTTGTGGGCCTGGCTCCATATCCATTCTGGGGAGCATCGGTCCGGTTCCTATTCCACCGGAAAGTCAGAAATTACAATATGAGGCACCCTCACGCTTCCTTCCGTCTGGCCGAAGGACCCCTGAACAGCATTGATTGCTCCAGCATTGCGGAGGATCGACTGTCAGCTTGCCATACATCTATCTTTCCTCTCAGGTCCAAAGCTATCTAAACCTGTCGTATTTATCGTGAGAGCAAGAGAGGGTTAGACAATGGAGGCAGCCGCCATTGCAGAGCCTGACTATACCGCGCCTTTGCCACAGGATTCACGTAACCTGTTGTGAACCTTGTCCGCCTGTAGGCTGGGACCTCCTCCAACTGGCTTCTGAATTGTGCCAGTCCTTCCATCGTAGATGGGAGGCCTGTATGTCTGCTACCTTGCCCCCTGCCAGCCACTCCTTCGTAAATTTCTTTTTAATTCTCTGTTGCTGGTCCACGTCTTCCGGCAGGGAATGTCTTATCTTCTGCCATTTGCAAAGAATCTCTGCCTGTATCCATGACCTCGTCTCCGACCATTCTAAGTATTTATCTTACGATCTGTGTTACCAGCCGGGTGGCCCGGTTCGCCTCAGATTGGCCCGGGTGGCCTGGCTGGGCCTGGGTCGAGCAAAACGTCCCAGTCAAGGGCCCGGCCAGTCCCAGAAAAATAAAATACTACATTATATCATACCCCTTCACGCCCCCCCTTTCGAGCCCTTTTGGAACGCCGCTTATACCCCATAGACACCCTTTGGTGAGATATCAGAAAACTCAAAGATGAGCCCGGATTTTGGCACGTCTCAGTGCGTGCAAAATTGTCCCAAATGGTGTCGCCCGGGTACCCAGGCGGGTCGGTTCCCGTGCAAGTTTGCCTGGGTCGCCTAGCCGGGTGACTCTGGTAACATAGCTTACGATTCTTAATTTCATGTTTTTATTTACTTTGTGCCAGTGTTCTCATATTTGCCACACATGACTTGGCCAAATAGTGTCACTGCGCCAGGCTGTTTTGCCGGACTTTCAACGACTCATCAAGAGGTTGAGCCTGTTCTTTGTGTAGGTGTTACTGTCACCAGAACAACCCCTTTCCACACAAATGAGTAGATCTGACAGTGAAACAGCCTTACCTTACAAGCTTCCGTCGAGTTATATATCGTCAAACAGAACTGCCTTCGGTAAACCGCCGAAGTCAGAGAGGAAGAAGAGGACAACAAACGAGGGGCGGTGACAAACTGTTTCGTCCGCCGAGTTGTATATGATATAGCAAATGGTCGTAACGTTTTGTGCAAGGAAATTTCCCAAGTAAAAGACTCGAAGTGAAGTAGAAAATAGAGTTACAAAGCACACCAAATGAACACACACCGACAGTGAAATCTCTTGATAAAGAAAGCACGACTTCTTGCCTCCACTCATCCATACCACAACCAATAATGTGTCTGACTATATTACCTGCCCTCCCTTCACTGTACATGTCAACCTCTCTCTCTCTCTCTCTCTCTCTCCCCCTCTGCCACTGTCCTCTCGGCTAACAATGCTGTAGAGTCTGACCACCCTTTCTGTGCTCTCTGGTCATCGCCAAGTAGTCCACCTGTTTCCCCCGCTTCCTGCTTACCTGATCACCTCAGCACGAGCCCCCCTTCTTCCTCCATGGCACAACGATGGCTGTCAGCAAGCGGAGCAGCTACCCGTGGCTGCTCCTCCCTTCTCAGCAATGTCCCTGGGCGCTGGGGCCTGGCCGTGTGCACTCAGCAGAGCTACCATAGCGCTGGCAGCCAGTGCCTCCGAATGTGTGGAATGCTGCTGCTGCCGCCTTTTGTCTCTTTCTGGAGGCCGCAACTGCCGAGAACCTTTGGTACCTGGGCCTCAGCCTCGGCAACAAACTGGGAGGCTCGGCCTATCGATCAGTCAGAGAGGCTTAGCCCAGCTTTCCTCCAACTGCCTCACGCCCGAATTTTTGCATGCCCAGCCGTCTCATTTTTCCATGAGCGGCCCCTTTCAGGCGCCGCTGAGGGTTAGAGCGTAGCGTCTGATAATTGTGATGTTTTGATGGAATGACCGTTTCAGTGTTGTACTCTTCGGGGTGAAAGTTGCACCACCTCGGTGTACTTAAACCACCAGGACCTGCCCAGCTATGCAGTCCGACCCTCAGGCGACCGGTATGCCAAGCCTGCCGAGCCTTAGGTGGCCATCCCAACCAAAGCAGTCCAGGTACCGGTAGCAGTCCCGGCCGAGGCTGGAGGAACCAGCAGGAAAAAAAAAAAAGGAAAAAAAAGCACCACCGCTGGGGACGTGAATTTAGTTGGATACATTTTCCGAAGCGGTAGCATGAGCATGCGCTCAGTGAGCATGCGCTCAGTGAGCATGTGCATTTCCCATAGCGTTCTATTCAGAATGTTCAGAGTTACTGTAGACGATGACAAGAAAATAAATAAACGTCGCGTCCGTGTCAAAAGAAGAAAAAGAAAATAAACACGGCTTTGGCCATGTATTTGGTTGGCTACATGCCCTCAACGGCGGCTTTTCAGTGAACCGCGGGATACACCCTGCCTCGCTGGCAGGGGATCATGAAGAAGGGATAAAAAAAAAAGAAGAAGAAAACCAACAAACAGAATCTTACCATTATAGATGTGAGATGCATTCTGGAAAGCAGTTGCGCGACCGCGGCCGCTAGACCGGCCTTCTGCGACATGATGAATGAACAAGTAGACTGTTTTTCTTTTTCGTCTTTCCGTATTGTAGCACCAACCGACCCTTGTAGCAATGACCTTCGTCCGACGCGACACGTTAACGGCCGTGTCGGGGCAAGGTACTGGTGGTTTAAGCGTGAACTGCATGCATACACGCCTGTTTGCTTTTCAGCAAACCTGCACCTTGTAATTTGTCTGCACACTCGTATTGGGGGGGGGGGGGGGGGGGGGGGGGGGGGGGGGGGGGGGGGGGAAGGGGAGGCAGAGAAGAGAGGGGAGGAGAACAGGAGAAAAAGGAACCCCATAGGTGCTCAATACTGACCGGCAGAGCAGACTGCTAGAGGCTGGAACAAGAAGCCAGGCGGGGTTTGGTTTGCCGGGAGAAATGAGAGCATGTGTTGCCTATGGTAATTGGCCACCCTGTAGACAGGGCAGGATCAATTTGGTGTGGACTATGGAAGCACTGCATCCAATTCTATCAGTTACAGTTGCTGCAATGAATGGCACAGCGCACAAAGGTGCCACAGGCAACATCTGTGATAGTGTGTTGAATTTCACCACAACAGTCCCTATTCCACCCAGATGAGTAGATCCAAATTCGAAGCAGCTTGAATCCCATTGCACACAATGAAGGCCCTTGAGTTGACACAATCCAACAAGGAAACAGTTTCACCTCTATAGCAAGCAACATGGAGTGTAATAGAAGTGTTTAAGTGAAATTAAGTCCCTTGCTTAATTGTGTTCACTTTTGCTTTCTTTGGGGTAGCGGGTACCCCTTTCGTTTATTCTTACCGCTCCCCTTTTACTGTGACTCTCATGTACAAGGCAGGGCTGGGTTGATTGCGGTTCGTGGGCTGCCCACATCCCCATGTGCCACGACGGCTCACTTCCACACTATGAAAGGCAGAGGTATCTTACTGTTCATTTTTCCTCAGGTTTCCTCAGACCGTCAACGTATATTTCATTTGTTCTCTTAATGATGCTCATTCGTCATTTGTTCTCTTAATGATGCTCATTCGTCATTTGTTCTCTTAATGATGCTCATTCGTATGCATTTACTAGTAGTGACAAGAAGAGGGAGGAAGGAAATGGGAGGTGGAATTCTGACAGGGTTCTAAATAGTCACCTTTGGCGCAGACCACACTCGAATGTCACGTAAGGCCAGTCAGCGTTTGGGTTGCATAAGATTTTGCAAGGAATGAGCCCTCGCTGTGGGCCCTAGGCCGCGGCCTCTCCCACAGCCCAAGGGTCCCCCCCACAGCCTCGTGCCCACCTCATGCCCGCCCTAAGTGAAGGCAGGCCTGCATTTGGAAATGAGGCCTATTTTTGCCGTTTCTGCATTGTGGGGGCCAGACAGTTACCACGCTCCAGTTGGTTACAGGGCCACGCCTATGTGAGCACAACATTCAGAGCCTCTGGGCTCACTCCAGCAGCGAGGTGGCCAGAGGGGCCAATGATAACGCAGGGAGCGACGTGGCTGCGCCTCTCTGTAGGCCAATGAGAATGCCGCCTGCGGCAGCAGCCATGTCGCACAGTTGGACAGCCTCATTGCTGCGGGCCCAGGCAACTGTCTGCATGGGCCTGGGCACAGACGCTTTCGCCCAATGTAAAGCTACCGGGCACATGCATGCCAGGCCCAGCCCAGCCAGCGGCAGGGTTCACTTTCCATAAAGGAAAGTGAGTGCCCAGCCAGCAGCACATTCTGGCTTAGCAATGCTGGGCGGCCACGCTGCTGCGCTGTACGCAGGCAGGCTGCGTGGGCGCTAGCAAGCCAGGGCATGCGCGGGCGCTAGGAGGTAAGAGGAGGCTGCAGTGGCAGCGGGCGCATGGCGGCCATAGTCGGGCTGCTGGGGCGCATGCCAGTCGGGCAATGGTGGTCTTCAGGAGAGGAGGGACATGCTGTGGTGAGACGGGGTGATGACAGGAGAAGAGACACATACCTGGTGTATGCTGGCGGGCTGCATTGGGGACGTCGTCACGTACATTGGTCTCAGCTCGAAGTGACTCCTGTTGCATATACGTAGTGTAGGCTAGCATAGCTGAGTTGGATAGGCTGGGCACTGAATGCCAATCAAGATGAGCGACATTGGATACTACGTTGGTGTGGCGAGAGAGTGTCGACATTGACATTTGAGTTCATTATATTGCTCCTATTTGGTTGGTATCTCAGTGCATTGTGCTTTTCTGCTTGGTACACGACTATCTGGTGTACAGCGTGATATTGCAATTTGTTTCTGTCTATCGCTCTCACTCGTATTCCTTACAATTTTGAATTCAGGAGCAGTCGTTACCTACGGTAAGTAGCCACTTCTACAGACCGGACATGACCGGTTCGGGTGTGGACTGTGGAAGCACCGTATCCGATTCTCGCAGTCGCAGTTGCTCCATCGAACGGCACGGCATAGAGAGATGTCACAGGCTACGCGGATCCTACATGCTAGGAACACAGATGCACATCGACAGCAATTGTAGGGGCATTGCTTTTTCAGCCCATCTACAAATTGGACATGACGTGTGTGTGTTGTCATATTCGCTATACACTCGAAAAAAGCATGACTGTGCCAGACTGTTTCGTCGGAACTTTCACCGACTCATCAGGAGGTTGAACCCCGACAGTCTGCCCAGGATGCATTTGACTGATGGATAAGGACTCACCACATCGCCCCGATTTAGAGATACCCCAAAGAGAGAAAAGTGGTTGACTTTACTCACACCAACCGTGCATGTGCGTGTGTTTTAGTCTTTTAGACTGTCACCAGAAGAACCCCTTCTCCATGATCCAAATTTGAACTAGCCTTACCGAACAATCATTATCAAGTTGTACGTGATGATTTTTAAATGATTGTAATGTTTTGCCAGGAAGATTGTCATGCCCAGCCGAGCGAGCACCGGGGTCTGACACCCAGGGCACTCGGGTACTCGGGCATGGGAAAAGGAGCCCATATCCGGTCTCTTTTCTTTTTTTGAGTATTGGCTATCAATGGGGGTGAAAGAGGGTATAAATTGGTTCTACAGGGCCTGAAGCGCTTTAAAGAGGGGTGCCTTAGTGTGATTCTGTTATTTTCTTTCTCATCTTCAATTCTGTGAGGAGTTCTGATGTGAACCTCAGCCATAACTCGTTTGCATTGCAATTCTACACAAGATATTTTTTCTACGGAATTATTTGGGCGCTGGGGCTGCCCGGACCAGGGTGATGCCTGGCCGGACACCAGGGCGTGTATCCGGGCACAAGTTCGGTGCCCGGGTGCCAAACTTGTATTCTGAGAGGTGCAAGGTCCACCACGTGTGTCATTGAGCATGAAAGGCATGCACACCCAATCGATCTCCAGCACAGCTGCACCTTAGTGATGCTCTTAGTGATGCTCTTAGTGACGCTAATAGTGATGATCATTCCCTACACACTTACCGGCAGACTGAATAGCTTGCGACCCTTCACCGACTGCCAGAGACTGGCAGTCCAGTCACGGGTTGGGTTGCAGAGAAAAATGAGCTGAGGTGCAGGCGTTGCCTATGGTAAGTGGCCATCGCTGCAGATCAGACAGGACCAGCTTGGGCGCGGCCTGTGGAAGCACCACATGCACCTCTCGCCGTTGCAGTTGCTGCATCGAATTGTGTGCGGAGAGGACATATCTCAAACAACGTGGCTCACACATGCTAGGTGTACAGAGGCCCTGCCGTCCCAACCCCTCTGTACAAACAGGACATCCCATGTCAGGGTGTCGTCGATGAGCACAATATTGACCGTCACCATAGGTATGATAACAAAAACTTGCATGCGTGTTGTAAGCTGTCACTACAGTAGCCCCTTCTCAACCCAGATGTGTGCATCCAAAATGAAAACAGCTTACCTCTATAGCAAACAACATGAAGTACACTAAAACCATTACATTGCCTTTCCTTTGTGCAGTCCTTTCTTTGCTTTCCTTACCTTGCTTTATATACCGTCAAAGTTACGGTCAAACAAAGCTGCCCAGTAAACCGTAGGCAGCGAGGGAGAAGAGGACAACGAACGAGGGGCTGTGACAAACTGTTTCGTCGGAGTTTCACCGACTCATATGTAGATATTTTATTGCCCCAGGTGGGAAGCACTAGGAATTGCACTTGGACCCTTCAGAAATTGACCGGGCTCAGCAGCGGGAATAACCACGAGCAACCGGCGTGTGACAATGTACGACACACGTGCTTAAATTTTTCTGGGTTTTCTCTTTCATTTCTTCTTGCAGTTTCGTTTCACTGTGCCTCTCACGTACAAGGCTCGCCACCTTGATTGTGGTTGAGCGCAAGCTGCCCACATCCCCATGAATCCTAACGGCCCACTTGCATGCCGTGGAAAGGAGGAAGAGTAAAAAATTGGGAAGGTATACTCCTGTTCATTTCTCAGCACACCTTCACCGTATATTTTGTCTTTTGTCTTGATAACGTTCATTCACATGCATTTAGTAGTGCCACACAAAAGGAGGGAGGGAGGAAAAGGGGAGGGAGTAAGAAATTCTACATTAGGGGAGGTAGGAGGGAGAAAGGGAAGAGGAGGGAAGCGGAGGGACAAAAAACGGAAAAGGAAAGACAAACGTCCACAGGGTTCTCAGTACTCACCACCAGGGCAGACTATTATGGCACAACAGCCCGAGGGACAAAAAATGGAAAAGGAAAGACAAACTTCACAGGGTTCTTAGTACTCACCACCAGAGCAGACTATTATGGCACAACAGCCCGATCGGTGTTGGGTTGCACAGAAAATTGAGTTGAGCAGCAAGCATTGCCCATGGTAAGTGGCCACCCCTGCAGACCGGCCAGGACTGGATCGGGGGTGGACTGTGAAAGCACCACATCCAATTCTCGCAGTTGCAGTTGCTGCATCGTATGACATGGTGTAGACAGATGTCACAGGCTATGAGGCTCCCCCATGCCAGGAATAAAGGGGCACACCCACTGACTCATTAGGAGGTTGAGCCCCGAAAGTCCGCCCAGGATGCATTGGACTGACAGATAAGGGCTCACCGCATTGCCCAGAATTACCCCTGCCCCTGAGAAAAGTGGTAGACTTTACTCACACCAACCCTGCAATCCTAGCCAATTACGTCCGAAGTCCTCCAAACCACTGACAAGAATGGCGGTAATACCGAGAAGACGTTTAGTGGGCAAAAGACTCAGGGTCCAGGATCTTCAATTTGTGGGCACTCTCTTTTAGTCTGTCAAAAATTATCATAGAATAGAATAGTTCGCACGCACCTGCTCTGTCGGATTGATAAAACCCACTCTAGACAGTTTGTGGGTTACGTTGATGTGGTTGAGCAAGCCCACATGCCCATGTGCCATACCTGCCCACTTGCACGCTATGACAAGGAGGTAGAGGTAAGGGGAGGGGAATATTTTATCTGTTCTCTTTATGATGATCGTTTGTATGCCCTTAGTGACTCTGCACGGGAGGAGAGAGGAAGGTGAAAGGGAAGGGAAGGAAGATGGGGGGGAAAAGAAACAGAACAGGGAAAAGACGAACTTCGCAGGGTTATCCGTACTCACTCGGCGGAACCGACTACTACGGAATGACACAAGAGGGCAGTCAGTGTTTGGGTGGCAAAAGATTTGAGTAGGCATTGTCTATGGTAAGTGGTCACCCCTGCAGACCAGAGGGCGGTTTTGGGTGCAGAAATGGAAGCACCGCGTCCAATTCTCGCGGTTGCGGTTGCTGCAGCGAATAGCGCGGTGCAGACAGGCTGCGTGGCTGCCACATGCAAGAACAAAGAGGCACGCCGACCACAATTCTATAGGCATTGCCGTTCCAGCCCGTCTACAAATTGTACATACAAGTTCTGCTCCTTGATTGAAGTGTGCTTACCCGACTCAAATTTTTGTTGAAGTTTTGTGTTGAACCCTTAGATATGCTATTGCCAAATATAAACGTGACGATGAATAGAGAAGGAATAGACAGGTCAGACGAGATCATCCCTACTAACGTTTGTTCCCTTGCTTAATATTCTTGTTTGGTGCATCGTGAGCCTCACGGTCTTCTGGCTACTATGCTCTAGCACACTGCACATTGGAAGCACCTCCCATGCGGTGCAGCCACAAGATTGAGCACTAAGAGGCATTCCCCAAGTAGGTCCATTGTAGACCTGATCTCCAAACCACCCGATTTTTGTCACTTTTCACTAGCATCCTTCACTTATTCCATATATCGCTTTCATCAGCCTTCAATACCTCCAACCCACCCGATTTTTGTCAGGATACTTCTCACTAACATCCTTCATTTATTCCATATATTCAATTATACTGCTTTCATCGGCTTTCAATATCATCTCCATCAGACACCCCCTGTCTTGCCCATCACCCCACTTCGGATCCACGAACCGCCATCAACCTTCTTGCCAAACATCTCTATTTTTCGTTCGCTCCTCTAATGCTTGCCTATGATCTCATTCATCATCGTGGCCACGAGACCTCACCACGCTTTCGTTTTACCGATCACACCCCCTGATCGATATTACAGAATTCCCCTAGTCCAATTACCCACACGGTGACAATGTTCCTCATTCAACCCCCATCCAATTCTCTCCACGGCGAACCTCGCACTTGCAACCTCCTCGATCAAGTCATGCGCCTTTACCAAGCTCATTCATCACCTCCCTCACCTCAAACATCACTGCGCTCACGTCAACTAGATCCAGCCCAACTGTGCCTTCACCACTTCCCACTCACCACATTACCCACCTGTGCCTTTACCACTTCGCACTCACCACATTTTTCAACCTCCCTCTCCTGGAACGAGGGAGTCGAACATGCAAGACAAAGATCTAAAATGCCATGTTATATTTTTAAAAACTAAGCTGTATATATTCTACTCAAATTCTTTCACTACCCACCTGCCACTACTACTCAGCCTATACAAGGGACCCCTGCAAGCATAAGGCCAAGCATTTCCCCCACCCCTATCGAGTAACAGCAGTGCCTAGGGCCAACACTGTCCCACACACCACACACAACCCACAGATG